TGTCCCAGGGGGCTGGGAAAGGGCCGCAGCAGAGCCCCTGCTTGCTTGCTTCCTAGCTCCTCATCTGGTTGTTATCTGCCACCCCAGAGCCCCAGGCAGCTTGACATGCAGAAGGCAAGGGCAGCAGCACGTGGGGCAGGGAGTGGGGCTGTTAGCAAATGCAGATCTCCCCCAGGGCTGCAGGGTGCTCGGTGCTGCTCTGCCCATCCCTCCCACAGTGTACCAAGGTCCTGGGAACAGGGCTGGGGATAGGACTGCACTTGTGCCCCTCTTACTTCCCCCACAGATCCCTTATCCCTATGCCCCAGCATGCTCACAGGAATGCAGCAAATGTCCCTACACAGGACATTCAGGAACCGGTGATGTGCAGGAGCCCTCAGCCTCAGACCCAGAGATAGCCCCGGTGCTGGGGTTAGGGAGCAGGATGAGGACAGGAGCAGGGTCCTGGGCAGTCCTTTTGGCCCTGGGGACATGGCTGGGGCAGGGACCAGGGCCAGGGGCTGCCCAGGTCCCCCAGGGGCCCGCTGGAGATCCTGCACAGACCCAGCATGAGCCCAAAGCTGTGGCACTGGGCAAACACAGCCAGTGCTGCAGCAGCTCAGGGGTCTAACCTTGTGGGGCATGATGGAGCACAAAACGGCCAACCTTGAGCTGCCCATGCAACCTCGTACAACATCCAGGCAAAGCATCTCCTCTCATGTTCTGAAGGTGAAGCTTTGACCTGGCTCTTTAGTCATCCACACACTGTGGTCTCTTGGTGCTTTCTGTGGGCTGAGTCCCTGCAGTGATGCCCCAGGGCAGTGGCTGTAGCGGGGCAGGGAGGTAGCTATCAGGGCCCCGGGGGCAGCCCGGGAGCACCGGGGTACCTGGGCCCTGCAGTTTGGGGCAGGGATGGGTCTGCTGGGGCCATCCCATCCCTGAGGTATGGGTACAACCTTGGGGTTCTGCAGGAGGGCAAAGCAGAGAGACCAGGCATAATCACTTGCAGCACAGAGCTGCAAGGGCAGCAATGAGATGGGGACCTGCGCCGTAATCTGAGGGGACGGCAGGGAGCCAGCTGCTCCTGTGATGGCAGGAGGTTTTTGTATCACTTCCCCATTGCGCTGTGTCACTGTGACAATTTAGTACTGCCATCCCAGCTAGCACAGTAATAGACGGCCTCGTCCTCGGCTTGGACCCCAGTGATGCTTAATGTGTTTGTGGAGCCAGACAAGGAACCAGAGAATCTTGAAGGGATGCCCGAGGGTCTCTTGTCGTTGCTATAGATCACGGTGACAGGGCCAGTGCCAGGGGTCTTCTGCTGGTACCAGCCATACCAATATTTGCCATTACTATCAGCGCTACCCCCAGAGCAGGTGATCTCCACATTGCCTCCCGGATTCACCGACTTTGAGGCTGGCTGAGAAATTGCTGCCTGGACCAGGGAACCTGGAGTGGGAGAGAAGAGAGGGGAGAAAACGGGTTCAGAAAGTGCCCCTCACGCACACCCCTGAGCGCACAGCAGCGGGACAAGATCAGGGCCCCGATGCCCAAAGGGCCCGGCCGGGTGCAGCGAGTGTGTCCAGGGCACCTGAGGTGTGGGCGAGCACCGCGAGGAGGAGAGGGGCCCAGGCCATGGCGAGATCCCACCAGCTGCGCGTCCCTACGCCGACGGGGCTGTGCCACGGACCTCAACTCCCTCTTAAACCCCCGCCCGGCCGCAGCACGGCCCCTCCATGCAAATGCGGCCCCGCGCTCTCGGCCACGTCCCGCGCCTCGCTCCCCTCCTCCCCGCCCGGCCCCTCCACCGCAGGCACAGGGGGGTTGTCCCCGGCCTCGTGCTGGGGACACGTCGCAGCACCCAGGCACAAAGCGCTCGCACGCAGCCCCTTGCCTCAGACGGGGCTCTGCACTCACGGAACCAAGCAGCCAGGGAGAGCAGGGACACAGGGGCTGGCGGGTACTACGGGTACTACGGGTACTACGGGTACTATGGGTACTACGCAGCGCTCACAGCTCCCACAGCACCGCTGTGAGGTGCAGACCCCTCCGGCCTCAGCACCCCATTGCCCCATCTTCCCCTCACACAGCTTTACATGTCCGTGGCCGCTGCTGCTTGTCCCCAACACAGCCGGTGCCTGCCCAGGCACACAGGGGCTGAGCAGGTGGCAGCGGCTCAACAGAAGAGGCCCCAGGGCCTGGCAGGACCCCCAGCACACCGGGGCCAGCAAAGTGCCTTGGGTTAAGGAGGCCCCCAGCGGCCGTGGCTGCGTTAGCAGGAGCCCCGAGGATGGCGAAGGGCTCAGAGCGCCACTCCCACGGGGACGGCTGGTGTTTGTCAGCCCCGAGAGCAAGAGGCCAGCAGGTGTCTTAGCTGAGGGACCGCTCCTGCAGGGGCACCAAGGAAATGGAGCCAGGCGCTTCCCGGAGGCAACAGGCACTGGCACGAGAGGAAACGGGCACAGGCTGGCAAACGGGGAATCACAGAATCACCGCATGGTTTGGGTGGGAAGGGACCTTACCGCCCACCTTCCCCAACCCCCTGCCATGGGCACGCCACCTCCCACCACACCAGGAGTCCCAAAGGCCCGTCCAGCCTGGCCTTGGGCTCTTCAGGGATGGGGCAGCCACAGCTTCTCTGGGCAGCCTGGTGCAGAGCCTCACCGCCACTGAGTGAATAATTCCTTCCTGGTATCTAACCTAAATCTGCCTGCTATCAGTTTAACACCATCACCACTTGTCCTATCACTACGTGCCCCTCTAAAATATCTGTCTCCTTGTTTCCTATAAGTCGCCCCCAAATGCTGAAAGGCTGCAACAAGGCCTCCTCAGAGCTTTCTCTTCTCCAAGCTAAACAAGCCCAGCTCCCTCAGCCTATCTTTGCAGGAGATGTGCTCCAGCCTGCCGATCGTTTTGGTCAAAATCTGTTCAGTGGAGCAAAAAGCCTTTTTGCAGTGAGGCTCGTGAAACGCATGCAATGCCTGTCCCGGAGAGCCGCCTGTGTTGGGTCTGTCTGGGCTGGAGTCACCTTTCCCTGCAGCAACCCACACAGTGCTGTGCTCTGCACTCGTAGCGGAAACGGCACTGGTATCACTCCAGTGTGGTGCCTCTTGCTGCACAGTGCTGGCACAGCATCAGGACTCCCTCCAAGCCCCCTAGAGCCAGCAGGCTTGGGGTGGGCAAGGGATGGGGAGGGGACATCGCCAGGGCAGCTGACCTAACCCAACAAAGGGATGTCCCATAGCTCCTGATGTCTCACTCAGCAATAAACAGGGGGCTCTGGCGGGGAGGGGGCTGTCCTCCTGAACAACCGCTACGCGTTTTGAGGCCCTGCTTCCCAGGATGTGGCCGAACATTGCTTGTTGAGGGGAAGTAGGTGGTAATATTTTTCCTTTCACCATGTGCTTCTGCATGGCCTTGTTGATTCTTTTGTTTCTTTTACTCCACATTCGCTTTCTCTTTAATTAAACAATTCTCACTTCAACCTCAAACTCCTTGTCTTGTATTTTCTCCCCCTTCCTCTTTGAAGGGGCGGGGGGCTGAGACAGCGGTTGTGCTGGGGCTCGGCTGCCCGCTCGAGTAAAACCACCACAGTGCCGAGCCTCCATCTTGGAGGCCTTCACACCAAGACGGGACAGGCCCTGGGCAGGCGGCAGCAGCCGGCCCAGCGTGGAGCAGGGTGGGAGGAGACGATTTCCAGCTCAGCGCCAGCCCCAGCCGTCTGGGGCTTTCCCCAGCCCCAGCACCTGCGCTTCCCCCTTACTCTGCTGCTCCTCTGCCCTGGCTCCTGCAGGCAGCACAGAGGGCTTGTGCAGGAACGGGGCACATGCCACACAGCAGGCCCAGCTCACAGGGGCATTTCCTGGCCCTAGACCAGGCCCAAGCTGCAGCAGCAGGCACCCGAGGGGCCCTGGTACCACAGCAGCTTGGCCTCTCACTTCCCCATTGCTGGGACTCGCCGTGCCCAGTGCTGCCATCCCAGGCACCACAGAAATAGAGGGCCTCATCCTCGGCTTGGACCCAGTGATGGTTAAAGTGTTTGTGGTGCCAGATGTGGAACCAGAGAATCGTGAAGGCATTCCCGAGGGACTGTTGGTGTTGCTATAGATCACGGTGACAGGGCCAGTGCCGGTATCTTCTGCTGGTACCACCTGTAGCTGTTGCTCCTCCCAGTAGCTGGGTCCTGCAACATGGGTAAGGGATGGGTGTGCTGGGGCCATCCCGTCCCTGAGGCACAGGCACAGCCTTGGGACTCTTTTGGAGGGTAGAGCAGGGACAGCAGGAACGGCCACCTGCAGCATTGGGCCCCAAGGGAAGTGCTGTGTCAGAGACCTGCGCCACCATCTGAGGGGACAGCAGGGAGACAGCTGCTCCTGTGATGGCAGAAGGTTTTTGTATCACTTCCCCATTGCTCTGTGTCACTGTGAAAATTCAGTACTGCCATCCCAGGCACCACAGAAATAGACGGCCTTGTCTTTGGCTTGGATACCAGTGATGGTTAACGTGTTCGTGGAGCCAGACAAGGAACCAGAGAATCATGAAGGGATGCCCGAGGGTCTCTTGTCGTTACTATAGATCACGGTGACAGGGCCAGTGCCAGGGGTCTTCTGCTGGTACCAGCCATACCAATATTTAGCGATCCACACATTGTGGTCTCCTGCTGCTTTCTGCAGGCTAAGTCCCTGCAGTGATGCCCCAGGGCAGTGTCTGTATCTGGGCAGGGAGGCAGCTATCAGGGCTCCGGGAGCAGCCTGGGAGCACAGAGGAACCTGTACAGAGTTTGGGGCAGAGACAGGGCTGTTGCAGCCATATCTTCCCTGAGGAATGGGTACAGCCCTGGGGTTCTGCAGGAGGGCAGAGCAGAAAGACCATGCACAGGCACTTGCAGTACTGGGCCCCAAGGGCATTGTTGAGTCACGGACCTGTGCCATCTGAGGGGACAGCAGGGAGCCACCTGCTCCTGCTATGGCAGGAGGTTTTTGTATCATTTCCCCATTGCGCTGTGTCACTGTGTCAATTTAAGACCACCACCGTAGCCACCACAGTAATAGACGGCCTCATCCTCAGCTTGGACCCCAGTGATGGTTAACGTGTTTGTGGAGCCAGATGTGGACGCAGAGAATCGAGAAGGGATGCCCGAGGGTCTCTTGTCGTTGCTATAGATCACGGTGACAGGGCCAGTGCCAGGGGTCTTCTGCTGGTACCAGCCCATACCAATATTTGCCATTACTATCAGCGCTACCCCCGGAGCAGGTGATGTCCACGTTGTCTCCTGGGTTTACCGTCTTCGAGGCTGGCTGAGTAGTTCCTGCCTGGACCAGGGAACCTGGAGAGGGAGAGGAGAGAGGGGAGAAAACAGGGTCAGCGAGTGCCCCACACGCACAGCCCTCAGCGTGCAGCAGCCCAAAGGGCCCAGCCGGGCGCAGCGAGTGTGTCCAGGGCACCTGAGGTGTGGGCGAGCACCGCGAGGAGGAGAGGGGCCCAGGCCATGGCGAGATCCCACCAGCTGTGCGTCCCCACGCCGACGGGGCTGTGCCGCGGACCCCGACTCCCTCTTAAACCCCCGCCCGCCCGCAGCACGGCCCCTCCATGCAAATGCGGCCCCGCGCTCTCGGCCACGTCCCGCGCCTCGCTCCCCTCCTCCCCGCCCGGCCCCTCCACCGCAGGCACAGGGGGGTTGTCCCCGGCCTCGTGCTGGGGACACGTGGCAGCACCCAGGCGCAAAGCGCTCGCACGCAGCCCCTTGCCTCAGACGGGGCCCTGCACTCACGGAACCAAGCAGCCAGGGAGAGCAGGGACACAGGGGCTGGCGGGTACTACGGGTACTACGGGTACTGTGGGTACTACGCAGCACTCACAGCTCCCACAGCACCGCTGTGAGGTGCAGACACCTCCGGCCTCAGCACCCCATTGCCCCATCTTCCCCTCACACAGCTTTACATATCCGTGGCCGCTGCTGCTTGTCCCCAACACAGCCGGTGCCTGCCCAGGCACACAGGGGCTGAGCAGGTGGCAGCGGCTCAACAGAAGAGGCCCCAGGGCCTGGCAGGATCCCCAGCACACCGGGGCCAGCAAAGTGCCTTGGGTTAAGGAGGCCCCCAGCGGCCGCGGCTGCGTTAGCAGGAGCCCCGAGGATGGCGAAGGGCTCAGAGCGCCGCTCGCACGGGGACGGCTGGCGTTTGTCAGCCCCGAGAGCAAGAGGCCAGCAGGTGTCTTAGCTGAGGGACCGCTCCTGCAGGGCACCAAGGAAATGGAGCCAGGCGCTTCCCGGAGGCAACAGGCACTGGCACGAGAGGTAATGGGCATGGGTCAAAGAACGGGAAATCACAGAATCACCGCATGGTTTGGGTGGGAAGGGACCTTACCGCCCACCTTCCCCAGCCCCCTACTATGGGCACGCCGCCTCCCACCACACCGGGTGTCCCAAAGGCCCATCCAGCCTGGCCTTGGGCTCTTCAGGGATGGGGCAGCCACAGCTTCTCTGGGCAGCCTGTTGCAGAGCCTCACTGCCACTGAGTGAACAATTCCTTCCTGGTATCTACCCTAAATCTGCCTGCTATCAGTTTAACACCATCAGCCCTTGTCCTATCACTACGTGTCCCTTCCTGGCAGCCAGGAAGGCCAACCCTATCCTGGGATGCATTAAGCACAGCATCTCCAGTCGGTCAAGGGAGGTGATTCTCCTGCTGTACTCTGCGCTGGTGCGGCCTCACCTCTGGTACTGCGTGCAGTTCTGGGCACCACAGTACAAGAAGGACATGAAACTGTTGGGGAGTGTCCAGAGGAGGGCAACGAAGATGGTGAAGGGCCTAGAGGGGAAGACGTATGAGGAGCGGATGAGGGTGCTGGGCCTGTTCAGCCTGCAGAAGAGGAGGCTGAGGGGGGACCTCATCGCAGTCTACAACTTCCTTTGAGGGGGAGTGCAGAGGCAGGTGACCTATTCTCTGTATTCACCAGTGATAGGACCTGCTGTAAGGGTGTTAAGCTGAGGCAGGGGACATTTAGGCTGGACATCAGGAAGAGGTTCTTCACCGAGAGGGTGGTTGCACACTGCAGCAGGATCCCCAGGGACGTAGTCACTGCACCAAGCCTGTCTGAATTTTAGAAGTGATTGGACTCTGCACTTAGTCACATGGTCTAAACTTTTGGGTAGACCTGTGTGGTACCAGGAGTTGGACTTGATCCTCATGGGTCCCTTCCAACTCGGGATATTCTATGATTCTATGAAATCACTCTCATCTCAAACCTCGAGCTCTTTGTCACCGATTGCAGGAGGTTTTTGCATCACTTCCCCATTGCTGTGTCATTGTGTCAGCGCTAGCACTGCTGTCAAAGCTCACACAGTAATAGACGGCCTCGTCCTCAGCTTGGACCCCATTGATGGTTAATGTGGCAGTGGAGTCAGATTTGGAACCAGAAAATCGTGGATGCCCGAGGGTCTGTTGATATTGCTATTGATCACGGTGACAGGGGCACTGCCAGGGGTCTTTTGCTGGTACCAGCCATAACCATATCTGCTGCTACCCCTGGAGCAGGTGATCTGTGCGGTTGCTGTGGTTTTACTCGGGTGGGCAGCCGAGCTCCATCAGAACCGCTCTCTCTCTCCCCCTCCTCAAAGTGAAAGGGGAAGAAAAATACTATGCAACAGGCTCAAGGGATTGGGAGATCACTCAACAATTATTGTGACAGGCAAAACAGATTCAGCACAGGGAGATAGTAAGATTTACTGCCTATTACTAACAAGCTAGAGAAGTGAGAAACAAAGCAAAGAAACGAAAAGCATCTTAGATGGGGGGAGAGCGGTGGATGCCATCTTTCTTGACTTTAGCGAGGCTTTTGATACTGTCTCCCATGACATCCTGATAGCAAAGCTGAGAAAGTGTGGGATAGAGGAGGGGACGGCAAGGTGGGTTGGGAACTGGCTGACTGAGCTCAGAGGGTGGTGATCGGAGGAGCAGAGTCTGGCTGGAGGCCTTTGACTAGCGGTGTTCCCCAGGGGTCGGTGCTGGGTCCGGTCTTGTTCAGCATCTTCATCGATGACCTTGATGAGGGAATAGTGTCTGCCCTCAGCAAGTACGCCGATGGCACAAAGCTGGGAGGAGTGGCTGACACGCCAGAAGGCTGTGCTGCCATTCAGCGAGACCTGGACCGGCTGGAGAGATGGGCAGGAAGAAACGAAATGAGATTTAATAAGAGCAAGTGTAGAGTCCTGCACCTGGGAAGAAACAGCCCGAAGTATCAGTACAGGCTGGGGGACGACCTGCTGGAGAGGAGCTCTGAGGAGAAGGACCTGGGGGTCCTGGTGGACGACAGGTTGACCATGAGCCAGCACTGTGCCCTTGTGGCCAAGAGGGCCGATGGGATCCTGGCGTGCATTAGAAGGAGCGTGGCCAGCAGGTGAAGGGAGGTGATCCCTCTACTCTGCCCCGGTCAGGCCTCACCTGGAGTACTGTGTCCAGTTCTGGGCTCCCCGGTACAAGGAAGACAGGGATCTCCTGGAAAGAGTCCAGCGGAGGGCCACAAAGAAGATACAGGGCCTGGAGCATCTTCCCTATGAAGAAAGGCTGAGAGACCTGTGTCTGTTCAGCCTGGAGAATAGAAGACTGAGAGGGGATCTCCTCAGTGTATATAAATATCTGAGGGGTGGGGGACAGAAGGATGTAGCCAACCTCTTCTCAGAGGTTTATGGGGATGGGACAAGGGGCAATGTCTGCAAGTTAGAGCACGGGAAGTTCCGCACTGACATGCGAAAGAACTTCTTCACGGTGAGGGTGATGGAGCATTGGAACAGGCTGCCTAGGGAGATTGTGGAGGCTCCTTCTCTGGAGATATTCAAGGCCTGTCTGGACACCTACCTGGGCAGCCTGCTCTGAGGAACCTGCTTTAGCAGGGGGGTTGTACCCAATGATCTTTCGAGGACCCTTCCAACCCCTACAGTTCTGTGATTCTATGATTCTGTGATTCTGTGATCTTCCCCCCATCCGCTCTCTTCCACCTCCACCCCCCAAGCAGCGCGGGGGAAGAGAGGAACGGGGGTTATGGTCAGTCCATAACGCTTCTCCGCCACTCCTTCTCAGTCACTCTCATCCCCTGTGCTGTGGGGTCCCTCCCACGGGATGCAGTCCTTGATGAACTGATCCAATATGGGCTGCCCACAGGCAGCAGCTCTTCCAGAACTGCTCCAGCTATGGGTCCGTACCACGGGGTCCGTCCCTCAGGAGAAAACTGCTCCAACCTGGCTCCCCCACGGGCAGCAGCTCCTGCCAGGTCACCTGCTCCTGCGTGGGCTCCTCTCCATGGGTACAGCTCCGGCCCGGAATCTGCTCTGGCAGGGGTCCTTCACAGGCTACAGCCTGCGTCGGGGCAGGTCCACCTGCTCCACCGTGTTCTCCTCCATGGGCTGCAGCGTGGAACCTGCTCCACCGTGGTACTCCATGGGCTGCAGGGGGGCAGCTGCTGCACCATGGTCTCTCCACAGGTCGCAGGGGACGTCTGCTCTGGAGCCTGTAGCAACTCTCGCCCTCCTTCTTCACTGACCTTGGTGCCTGCAATGCTGTTCTTCAATCCTCTCCCTCTCCCAGATGCTGTGTGCAACATAATTGTTTTTTTGTTTTGTTTTATTTTCTCCTGGGTTCACTGATTTTGACTCCGGCTGAGTCAGTGCTGCCTGGACCAGGGAACCTGGAGAGGGAGAGGAGAGAGGTGAAAAAATGGGGCTCAGTGATTCACGAAACTCACAGTTCTGGTCCTGCAGAGGGGCCAGGAACATTTCACAGAGCCAAAGCCCTGCTCAGCACTGAGGGTCAAGGGCAAAAAGCCTCCATTTCTAGCTGTGGCTTGACCCTCGCTTCCCAATTGCCCTCTGTTGCTATACCAGCACAGTACTGCTGTCCCAGTTAGCACAGTAATAGACGGCCTTCTACTCATCTTATGCCTCACTGATGGTTAATGTGGCCGTGTAGCCAGATTTGGAACCAGAGAATCATGAAGGGATGCCCGAGGGTCTGTTGGTGTCACTATAGATTGCGGTGACAGGAGCACTGCCAGGGGTCTTCTGCTGGTACCAGCCATAGCTGTTGCTGCTCCCGGAGCAGGTGATCTGCACGGTGTCCTCCCAGGTTCGCCGTCTTCGTGGCTGGATGACTCAGTGCTGCTTGGACCAGGGAACCTGGAGAGGGAGAGAAGAGAGTGGAGAAAACGGGGCTCAGTGAGTGCCCCACACGCACAAACATCAATGCTGCTGTCGCAGGCACCACAGTAATAGACAGCCTCATCCTCAGCTTGGATCACAGTGATGGTTAACGTGTTTGTGGAGCCAGATGTGGAACCAGACAGTCATGAAGGGATGCCAGAGTTTTTCTTTGTGCTATCATAGATCACGGTGACAGGACCAGTGCCAGGGGTCTGGTAGGATTACCAGCCATAGCTCTTGTTACTCCCAGCAGCTGGGTCCTGCAGCATTGGGCAGGGATGGGGCTGCTGGGGCCATCCTGTCCCTGAGGGATGGGCACAGACCTGGGGTTTTGCAGGAGGGCAGAGCAGGGACAGCAGGCACGGCCACCTGCAGCACTGGGCCCCAAGAGAAGTGCTGAGACGAAAACCTGTGCCACCATCTGAGGGAAGAGCAGAGAGACAGCTGCTCCTGTGATGGCAGGAGGTTTTTGTATCACTTCCCAATTGCTCGGTGTCACTGTGTCAGCACCAGCACTGCTGTCGTAGTTCCCACAGTAATAGACGGCCTCGTCCTCGGCTTGGACGCTAGTGATGGTTAATGTGGCTGTGGAGCCAGATTTCGAACCAGAGAATCGAGAAGGGATGCCCGAGGGTCTGTTGCTGTCACCATAGATGACGGTGACAGGGGCACTGCCAGGGGTCTTCTGCTGGTACCAGCCATAACCGTAGCTACTCCCGGAGCAGGTGATCTGCACGGTTCCTCCCAAGTTCACCGACTTCGAGGCCGGCTGAGTCAGCGCTGCCTGGACCAGGGAACCTGGAGAGGGAGAGGAGAGAGGGGAGAAAAAGGGCTCAGCGAGTGCCCCACACGCACAGCCCTCAGCACGCAGCAGCCCAAAGGGCCCGGCCGGGCGCAGCGAGTGTGTCCAGGGCACCTGAGGTGTGGGCGAGCACCGCGAGGAGGAGAGGGGCCCAGGCCATGGCGAGATCCCACCAGCTGTGCGTCCCCACGCCGACGGGGCTGTGCCGCGGACCCCGACTCCCTCTTAAACCCCCGCCCGCCCGCAGCACGGCCCCTCCATGCAAATGCGGCCCCGCGCTCTCGGCCACGTCCCGCGCCTCGCTCCCCTCCTCCCCGCCCGGCCCCTCCACCGCAGGCACAGGGGGGTTGTCCCCGGCCTCGTGCTGGGGACACGTGGCAGCACCCAGGCCCAGAAGTGGAGCACACGGAGCCCCCGCCCCAACTCCTGTGGCTACGAGGCCAAACAGCCGGGGAGAGCTGGATTGGAGGGGCTAAGGGGACCACACGGCGAGGAGACGGTGCCCGTGCTGGGCTGGAAGGACTAATCCTTGCCAGAGAACTGCCATGGGGAGCATCCACAGGGTCTGATGGCACCAAACTTGGCTCTGCCATGGGGAAAGCCTGTCCCAGGGGGCTGGGAAAGGGCCGCAGCAGAGCCCCTGCTTGCTTGCTTCCTAGCTCCTCATCTGGTTGTTATCTGCCACCCCAGAGCCCCGGGCAGCTTGACATGCAGAAGGCAAGGGCAGCAGCACGTGGGGCAGGGAGTGGGGCTGTTAGCAAATGCAGATCTCCCCCAGGGCTGCAGGGTGCTTGGTGCTGCTCTGCCCATCCCTCCCACAGTGTACCAAGGTCCTGGGAACAAGGATGGGGACAGGACTGCACCCTGTGCCCCTCTAACTTCCCCCACAGATCCCTTATCCCTCTGCCCCAGCATGCTCACAGGAATGCAGCAAATGTCCCTACACAGGACATTCAGGAACCGGTGATGTGCAGGAGCCCTCAGCCTCAGACCCAGAGGTAGCCCCAGTGCTGGGGTTAGGGAGCAGGATGAGGACAGGAGCAGGGCCCTGGGCAGTCCTTTTGGCCCTGGGGACGTGGCTGGGGCAGGGACCAGGGCTAGGGGCTGCCCAGATCCCCCAGGGGCCCGCTGGAGATCCTGCACAGACCCAGCATGAGCCCAAAGCTGTGGCACTGAGCAAACACAGCCAGTGCTGCAGCAGCTCAGGGGTCTGTCCTTGTGGGGCATGATGGAGCACAAAACGGCCAGCCCTGAGACGCCCCTGCAGCCTCGTACAGCAGCCACACAAAACATCCCCTGTCATGGTCTTTTGAAATATGTTCATCTGATTCGTGTCAGTATGGAACAATGCTATGGCCGCATGGTATGATGAATGTGACCTTCTGTCTTACATACCCTTGCATAACCACAACTCTAAGAAAACAGAGTGGTTAATGTATATAGTTCTTGTATGTTGCAAAGGAATGTTTTAGCAAGTCGTGTCAGTAGAGAGTTTGAAGAGAAATGTATTTGGAGGCTTTTCATTGAAGTCTCTGATATCTGGGGGGTTTCAGAATAACTGCTAACTATTATGACTATTGCACGGGACACTATGCAAGTCTCTGATATCTGGCCAGGAGATAAAGGAGATGGGGAGAGCTGAAGAACAACTAAAAGACAAAGCTTGCAGGGGACGCTGCACAAGTTTCTGACATGCAACCAAGTTGGACAAAAGAGAAGGACAAGAGGGAGGAAGACTATGAGCCTTCAGCACAAGAG